AGGCAGAGGCATGTGAATCTCTGTGAGTTCCAGGCTAGCCAGATCAGAGAAACCCTGTCTTGAAAAAGAAAAATTAAGCCGGGCAGTGGTAGCAAACGCCTTTAATCCCAGCACTCTGGAGACAGAGACAGGAAAATCTCTGTGAGTTCGAGGTCAGCCTGGTCTACTCTAGGACAGGCTCTAAAGCTATAGAGAAACCCTGTCTCAAAAAACAACAAATAGGGGCTGGAGAGATGGCTCAGAGGTTAAGAGCATTGCCTGCTCTTCCAAAGGTCCTGAGTTCAATTCCCAGCAACCACATGGTGGCTCACAACCATCTGTAATGAGGTCTGGTGCCCTCTTCTGGCCTGCAAACATACATGTAGATAGAATATTGTATACATAATAAATAAATATTTTAAAAAAACAACAAATAAAGAAAAAAATTAATTTATGTGTATGTGTCTGTGTGTGTATGTGGGTGACTTCAGAGACCAAATGAGGGAACTAGCAACTGACTCAGAGACTCTACTAGAGCAGTACTAAGCCGTCTCTTCATCTGCCACCTTTAAAATTATAGCAAATATATATATTTGAGACAGCATCTCACATACAGCCCTGGAGGGCCTAGAACCAGCTTGTGTCGACCAAACTGGTCTTGAACTCACAGATTAGAACTGCATCCGCCTCTGCCTCCCCAGTGCAGGGATTAAAAGTCTGAGCCAGCACAAATGCCTAAAGTGTATTTTAGATAACACATGGAAGTTGTGTGGATTTACAAGAGACATTGGAACACTTCAGTAGTTTATACAGTGTGTCGTGGTCAGATCAAGGTCTGGCAAGTCCCTTGCCTCAGACACTAACCATTTCTTTGTGCTAAAAATGTTCAAAATCCCATATACTAGCTATTTTGACATTCTAGATTTACTTATGACAACCATAGTTGTCCTGCTGCGTTACAGGACATTATAATCCACGCTTTCCCTCTGATATATGTGTGTGTATCGTATAACCCTGGAACTCAGCAAGTTCCAGGCCCAACTACATGGTAAGACCCTGCCTCTAATAAGCAAATGAATCCCCCGCCAAGCCACACCCCATGCCCATTAGCCATATCCTTTCATACCTCCCTCTCTGTGCCCTTTCTGGACTGGAGAAACCACCACTTTTGTCCCTGCTTTAAAACCAACTTTGTCTCTTCTACATGAAAGTAAAAACATGTCGTATTTGCCTTCCTTTGCCTGGTTTATTCCAATGTCCTTTGATTTCTTTCCTGCTACCCCCCCAGCTCATCCCCCAGAGCTTGGGACCAAACCCAGGGTCTCAGACATGGTGGTTCAATGCTCTGCCGCTGAACTATATCTCCAACCCTCAGTTTTCTTCTAATCTCTGAGTCCTCCCCTTACCCCAGCCTCCCTGTCTGTTAAAGGCATTGAGTCTTTGGCCCTATAGCCAACCCCACAATCTAGATCCTTACTGTGCTCCCTTGCCTGCTCCTTAACTTGGTGGCCCAATCATAAGGCTTGGTGGTATTTGGAAAGCTTTCACAGAAGTGATATTCCAACACATACTTCCTCCATTTCCTTTTTTTTTTTCAAATTTGTTTGTTTCGAGACAAGTTCTCCTGTAGCTGAGGTTGGCCTTAAATTCCCTATGTAATCTGAGGATGAACTTGAACTCCTGATCCTCCTGCCTTCGACCACTAAGAGCTCAGAGTCCAGCTGTGTACCACAATGCCCAGTTTCTGTGGTGCTGGAGATCAAACCCAGGGCTTCCTGCGTATCAGGTAAGTGCTGTACCAACTGAGCTAAAGCCCCAGCCCTTTGTTTTATTTTTTATTAATTAATTAACTAAGTTTTGAGACAGGGTTTCTCTCATAGCCCTGGATGTTCTGGAACTCACAATGTAGACCAGGCTGGCCTCAAACTCAGAGAACCGCCTGCCTCTGCCCCCTGAGTGCTGAGAGTAAAGGCTTGACCCACCTTGCCTAGCTTTTTATTTTATTTTGGAGATAAGATCTCTCTAGCAAACCCAGGCTAACTCAAACTCAAGATCCCCCAGTCTCAGCCTCCCAAGGGCCAGAAGTCAATCAAGCAGTATCATGCTGAGTCCTAGATACTTGGGAACGTGAGCTCTACTTGTCATGATACAGAATACCCATATGCGGGCCTCGCACGCGCCTCCCATCCACGCCGCCACGATGCCCAAGAGGAAGGTTAGCGGATGGAGCGCCGCGGATGGAGCGGCGAAGGCGGAGCCCAAGCGCCGCTCCGTGAGGCTGTCGGCCAAGCCCGCCCCTGCCAAGGTGGACGCGAAGCCGAAGAAGGCCGCGGGAAAGGATAAGTCATCAGATAAAAAAGTGCAGGCAAAAGGGAAGAGGGGAGCAAAGGGCAAACAGGCTGAAGTGGCCGACCAGCAAACCGCAGATCTGCCCACAGAGAACGGAGAGACCGAAAACCAGAGTCCAGCCTCTGAAGGAGAAGAAAAAGAAGCCAAGTTCGACTAACCATCCATCATGTCTGTCAGTGTCCCGCCTCCCTTCTTGCACAATCCAGAGGAATATTTTTATCAACTATTTTATAAATGCGAGTTTTTAGTAGCTCTAGAAACATTTTTAAAAGGTGGGGAGAAATCCTGCCTCATCCCATTTTTTAAGTGTAAATGATTTTTTTAAGAGGTTAAATCACTCGGTTGTTTATTTTTTGGTACAACCAGAAAATAGCAGGATACTGAATCAGGAGAGGCTGTGACTGTCTCGGGGGTCACCATAACATTCCGTAGAGGGGGCTAGTTTTATATCCTACAACACAAAGCATATACTAAGTGGTAATTTGGAGTCTTGGTCGTGCATTTGTGTCTGGAATATTTTCAGTTATATCCGGTGTCGTGTTTCGTAGAACTGTTGGCTAAAAACCCACTCCTCGGCCCTTCCCCTGTCAGGACTGTCTGCTCATGGCGGTCCATCTTCCTAACAAGTGTGACAATGTGCTGTGAAACATTGAACTTTTTGAGTGTGTCCTGTGCGTGGCATAAAATGGTAAGTCAGTGGAGTTGAGGATTGTGAGCAATTTATTATTATGTGAGGTCTTGGAGAAGGCTTGCCAAGTTTGGGAATGGAACATCACTTGGAATAAGTTCAAAGAGAAACAACACATGGCTCTTTTGGGTACATGAGCACAATGTATGACTCCTCAGAGTTTGGGTACATGTTTTAAGAATTGAAATGTCTGTGTACTTTACTCCTCAACCAATAAAATCTCCGTTGTGAAAGAGAGAAAAAAAAACCCAGAATACCCATATGCTTCAGAGTGGAGCTTCTGTTTTGTTTTGGAGACAGAGTTTAACCGTGTAACTTTCTAAAGAGTGTCACCCTCCGCTGTGATGACGAACAGAGAGGTGATGGGTGGCTTCCAGCTTGTTCTCACCGTCCTTAGGTCTACTTCTCAGCAGAGGACACTGTTGACCCACAGTGACCTTGGGCCATCGCAGTCTCAGCTAAAAGCCAGAAGCACTGGTTACTGGTTACATGCTGCCACCCCTGAGACCGCTCTGGGAGAATCCCCCTGCATCCTTTTCAGGAGATGAGGCAGTGACCCTGAGTCCCTTTCCAGCCTCAAGCCTCCTTTGGTCACATTCTCCCTTGCTGTATCCACAATGGTGTGAGGCCATGCCAGATCAGGAGTATCCAACCTCATAACCTAAAGGTGATTCCGATTCCCCCAACTGACACAGTAACTGTTTTTGTGGCTTCCCATTATGGTTTTGTAGGATACAGAATAAATCCTGTATTCTACCTTTCATAAATATAAAAATCACTGAAGATGTAGCTTGGTTGTAGAATTCTTGTCTACTGTGCACAAAGCCATGGCTTCCATCTCTAGCACCACATAAAAGCATAAACTCTTGTGCAAGATCTTTGCCAGAGCAACTGGGAGCCATAGGCTTCTGCAGGTTTGGGGCTTATTTTCCCCTAAGAACTCTCCACAGCCGGGCGGAACCAGCTAGGCCTGCTGAAGCTCAGGTCCTCGACACACGGGGGAGCCAGAGTCAGCATTGCCCCGTGGCTTGCTGGTGCTGTAATATGTGTCAGCAAGCGTACAAGGATCTGTCCTCAACACTAATAAGACAGTAACTCGGGCCCGCCACAGGGACACGAGGAGGGAGAAGCTATGGATCAACCGGTAAAGGAGGAAACTCCGGTAGAGGTCAGAGGACATCACACAGGAATATGTTTTTTTTCCTTTCTACTACATGTGTCTTGGGGATTGAACACAGGTCTTCTGGCTTGGCAGCTTTATCTGCAGGCCCTGTTTTTTGTTTTTAACAAGACCTCATGTAGTCCAACTCACTATGTAGCCAAGTATGGCATCAAACTTCTGGTCCTCCTGCCTCCTCCTTTCATAGTAAGGCCTGAGATTCCAGATCTGGGTTTTGTGAGTGAGGGAGACTGAGCCCACGATTTCATCTAATACCCGGCCTTCCTCCCCAGTCCTGTGTTGGTTTTTGTTTGTTATTTTTGTTTTCCTTTCTTTCATTCATTCTTTCGCTCTTTTTCAGATAGATTTTCACATAGAACAGGCTGGCCTCCATCTGGCTATATAGCTGAGGATGACCTTGAACATCCTGGCCTCCTACCTCTACCTCCCTGAGTGCTATGGTTGCACCATCCCTGGCTTAGCCTGCCCTTTATTAATTTATTTTTTTGAGACAGAGTCTCACTAAATTGCTAAGGCTGCCCCTGAACTCACTCTGCAGTCCAGACAGACTTTAGACTCATGATCCTCTTGAGTAGCTAGGATTACAGGCCTGCACCACCATGCCTGGCTCCAAACGAACCTCCCAGAAGCCTAATTTCTAATACTGACAAGCAAGAGGGAAAGAGATGCTTGCCTAGAAAACAGATGAGCTGACATGGACAGATACACATAATTTGAAAATACACATAAAATAAAAATTAAAAAAATAAATGAGGGATTGGAGAGATGGTGCAGTGATTAAGAGGCACGTATCGCTGTTCAGTTCCCAGTAACCATAATTCTATTTCCAAGGGATTCAATCCCCTCCTGTGGTCCTTGTGGAAACCAGGCATGCACATGGTATAAATACATGCCCACAGGTAAACCCTCATAGACATGTTTTTTTTTATTATTTTTAAACTAAAAAAATAAATCTTAAAATAATTATGCTAATAGTACCTGTACTGACTAGTTTTATAGCAACTTGACACAAGCTGGAGTCATCAGGAAGGAGGGATCCTCAACTGAGAAAATGCCTCCAATGATCAGGCTGTAGGCAGGCCTATAGGGCATTTTCTTAATTAGTGATTGATCAGGGGCCGGCTGAACCCATTGTAGGCTGTGCCATCCCTGGGCTGGTGGTCCTGGGTTCTGTAAGAAAGCCCGCTGAGCAAGCCATGAAGAACAAGCCAGTAAGCAGCACCCCTCCATGCCCTCTGCACCCACACCTGCCTTCGGGATCCTGCCCCGCTTGAGTTCCTGTTCTGGCTTCCTTTAATGATGGACTATAATCGGTGGTAAGTGTAAACCAAATAAACAAACTTTTCCTTCCCAAGTTTCTTTTTAGTTATGGTGCTTCATCGCAGCAACGGAAACCCTGACTAAGACAATACCTGAAGCTGTTGTGAGAGAATTCAATGGCCCCGTGTTTCAGAAAGCCTTCTGCAGCCTGCGCAAAGCTGAGGCGGAACTTTTTCTCCTAGGAGGCCTCCTCCCCGACCGCTCCAAACCTAAGACACAGCTCTTCTCTGGAGGCTCCTGGCCTGTATGACGGTGTTGTAGCCCTCACCATCCTCCCATCCCAGCAGCAGGATCCCCCCCCCCCCAACTCCCGGCCGGAATGTGACCATTTTAAGATGGAGACCATGACTGACTCGCCAACGTGTTCTTTCTCAAGTTGCTTTTTGGTCGTGGTGTTACACAGCCTGGTAAGATTCAGCCAAATTATACTAAAACTCATTGAAGAGAAATAAGTCTGCGACAGCGACGTTAGGAAGCAGGGTGTGGGGAGATGACGGTGCCAGGTATCGACACCTGGAGGGGGCTGACAGGTTTCTGTTTTTATTTTTTTAATGTGTAAATGAAAATACCAGTGTTGGGAATGGAGATTGGCGGTAGTCTTTTCACTGAAGGCCCCAGGCTCAATCCCCATTCCCGGAGAGAGAAAATAAAATGCTTGCTCCTTATGACAACAGCTCCCTGAGAATCTGTGTCTCTATGGGTGTCGGGGGGGGGGGGGGGGGGGGGTTTGGTTTGGGTTGGCTTTTTTTTTTTAAACTGTAGCAAAGAACTGGAAACAACCCAAGGGTTCATCAATAGAACACATCCAAATAAAGAGAGGTGCGGCCACACGAGCAGTGCTGGGCAGCTACTAAAGAAGAAGGAATGGGTCTGCGCTTGCCGGGGTAGAACAGCTCAGAGATGGGGGACTCAGCACGGAAGTCACTCTTCCATTGCTCTTTTCTTTTCTTTCCTTCCTTTCTTCCTCCCCACCCTCCACAGGGTCTCTATACAGCTCTGGCTATCCTAGAACTTGCTCTGTAGACCAGGCTAGCCTTAAACTCAGAGATCACCTGCCTCTGCCTCTGCCTCTGGAGTGTGCCACCACGTCTGTATGAGTTTTTTGTTTGTTTGTTTTTGAGACAGAACCAGATATGTAGAACAGGTAGGCTGCAAACTTCCTCATGGTAAGAGTTGATTTCTTTTCTTTGGTTTTTGTTGTTGTTGGTTTGGTTTGGTTTTTTATTTTTATTTATTTATTTTTTGCATTTTGTGTTGTTTTTTCCTGGAGCTGAGGATAATTAAGCTAAATCACTAAAGTTATTTTGGTAATTAAAAAAGATTAATTATTGACCAGGCATAGTGGCGCACACCTTTACTCCCAGCACTCGGGAGGCAGAGGCAGGCAGATCTCTATGAGTTCAAGGTCAGCCTGGTCTACAGCGCTAGTTCCAGGACCCCTAGGGCTACACAGAAACCCTTTCTCGAAAAGTTTATTTGTTTGTAGAGAGGCATGCACGTGCCATGGTGTACATATAGAAAAGTCAGAAGATAATTTGAAGACGTCAATTCTCTCCTTCCACCAGTAGGTTCCAACAACCAGATAATGGATTTGGCAACAATTCCCAGCACTTCATAAACAGGACAGATCTGTGTGCACCTGTAATCTGGTCTTTAGGAAGTGGAGACAGGAGGATCAGAATTTTAAGGTCATCGTCACCTAATATGAAGTTCGATAGCCTATAGACTAACCTGATCCTGTCTCTAGCCTAGCTAGACCTTACATCGAAAATAAACACATCAGGACTGAAGAGATGGTTCAGCTCTTGATGACCTGAGTGGGATTCTCAGCACCCGAATGGTGGCTCACAACCACCCATAACTCCAGTTCCAGGGGATCTGACACCCTCTTCTGACCTCTTTAGGAACTAGGAACACACTTTGTACATGGACATACATGCAGGCAAAACACTCATACACATAAAATAAACAAAGCTTTAACTGT